ATTTTAAATTATTTTGAATTAATAATTATTTTAAATTGGAAGATTTTGTTGTGTCTCTAAATTAAGTACTTGGACATATCACAAGAAACTTATATTCAGAAAAGACCTGGTATCTTCTATCTTGTATTAATTGTTTTGTGAGTCAGTTTGCATTAATTTTTCTTACAGCTCTTTTCCAAATTTCTCTTATTTCTCTATCCAAGAAGAATGATTGTGACCATACATTCTTCTCAAAGCAGGAAAGCAAACAGATCATTACATTCTGTATAACTATTGCCAATCAATGCCAGTAAGTGATTAGCTCACAGGATATATAGTTTTAGTACATGGTGGTACACAAACCTTTAAAAAGGTTTTAGATTCTTGCTATGTAAAGAAACCAGAGGTGAGAAATTTCTCAACCTGGTGAATGTAGTAACATTGTAATTTACCCAGTGCACCTATCCTCAGAATAGTTACATTTAGTTGCACCTGAGGAGATCATTTTTATTTCTAAATTAAATGAAAAGAGCCAAAACGGAGAGTTATTTATTGTAGCCATAGTGTTCTTTAAGTAGCTTTGGAGTTCTTTGTAAATATTACAAAGTTTTTACAAAAGTGTGTGTGTCGTTGCCGCAACTCAAAATATGCCTAAAACTAGCTCCAATGCAAAATCTGACCCAATATAAGTGTGCGAGATACTAGTCACAACTGACTGCAATGTAAGGTTCTGGCTGAGATGAAAAATGCATAAGGTCCAATTCAAGTTTCTTCAGGCAATGCAGCAGATGCTAAGACTCCTTAGCAAATGCAGCTCATAGTCATTGTGTCTCCAAATACTGATGAATTGTATCTTAGATTTAACCACACTTTTATGACTTTGTAGGAGATTCTAAGAATTTTGGATGATTATGTGTAAGACACCAATTTTCACAGTTCTCTTCACTTGATTAATCCCTTTTGACCAATGATTTATATAGTTTGAAATCAGAGCACTTGCTTCTGAATCTCCTGCCAGAAGCTTAGAATGGCTAAATAGCATTGATGCAGTCTGTCATATTTTGCCACGCTTCCTATGTTTTTGCACGATATGTAGGAGAAGTTGGGGAGGCACACCAAAACATGTGCTAACATCACTCTATGACAATGTTCAGGGCTCACAGATATGTTCTTTAAATAATTCTTTTTGTTTTTGGCGTTGAGATATTGTCACTCACAATTCCACACCTATACTGCATTCATGGGTAAGTGCCTCGTTAGCTGTTTCAAAGCAGGAGATGCTTTTTATTAGAGATGCATTACGAATGTCTGCGGCTGTTTCAGTGACACTAATGAAATCACATTTCTCACACTGGGCACTTATGAATGCCATGAGCTGCTGCGATTTCATTCAAATTGTCAAAAAAACATGTTTTCTTCCACTTTTAAAATACCAGGAATGTTGGCCCCATTACTTTTCATTTCCTCACTCATTATATAACACAGATTACAGTTCACAGTTCCTTCGCACCAGAGGGACATAGGTTGCATATAAAATAAGTAAATACATAGTCCTTGCATTTGATATGGCACCTTATCACGTAGACATATCTTAAACATTTCAGAGAATGTATAGTAACTGTATTTGTAAGCAAACACAGCAGCCAATTTACACACACTAATGTCCTGCCAACAGCCACAAAATGAATGACCAGTTGTTTTATCTGGCAGATTGTTGGCATGTAGTGCTATAGGTTCTTTATTGTCCTTCCGAGCAGACGCAAGAGCCTGGGATTAAGATCTCACCTGAAGGACAGCATCTCCAACAATGCAGGACTCCCGAAGCAAAATCAGCCTCGACTCTGAGCTCAAAATTGAGCTCAAAATTATGACTCAGAGGCGAGAGCAATGTCAAATGAGACAGATTGAAATTTAGATGACAAAGTATTCTGAATTGCTTCTATTAGGAATGCACCTTCTCACTGGTATTAACTGATCTCAGAAATCCACTAAAATACATTCCTCCTACGTTATATTTAAGTCAAGCAACTTTCTTGTACTCTTTAGTTTCAGTTCTTCATTAGGTAAAGGAGAGCCATGAATACATCATCAATCCTTTAACGGTAATCTTTTAGAGGCAAAATCTAGCACTTCAGCTAGAAACTGGGGATAAGCATTGTGAATTGAAATATTAAAGTTTGGAATTTTTTTGTGGTGGAACCAAATATTGATGGAGGACTATGCCACTCATAGGGGATATTGCTAAATAACCACATTAATCTAACTTTAAATCATTTTGATGATGGTCAGGATGCATCATGGATCAGGCACATTGAGCAGTTATTAACTAGGGATTAAATGAGTGCAATTCAATAGACTGTTTTCATACAGTTATTTTTTTGACAAGATCAAAATAAAAAAGTTTCTGTCATGTGCAAAGACAAGAAAGCAATGAAGGGGACCACAATAAAGGGCCATACTAAATATAATTCTAAATCTTTAAACCCAAATTTTGGAAAGACAGAATTATTGTACTCCTATACAGAAGGAAATAAGTTTGGATCCACTTGTCTTGTTATTTAGAAGACAAAAAATGCCTATAGAAAGTCCAGTAAGTCACTGATATCTTTCTCTCAATGTCTTTCGCATACAAGAAAAGTTTACTTTAAGGGGAAAGATTGATATACATTACATGCTTTGACTAAAACTAGGATTTGAGTTTGAACCTGCCCCAACAGGACTGAAAAATTCTCTCTCTAATGCTAAAAGGCAAGGTAAGCGCTCAACAAAGTTCTGTGTGCATACAGGGCAACATATAAAATTTGACCATGAGTGTTCTGATTATCTAAAATCAGGGTCAGCATCAAGGATTTTCAGGTCAGATAAAAAACATGCTAGGTACAAAACATGTTCCCTCTGCACTATCCCATTAGCTTCAAACTAGATATAGAGCACCCGGGACAGAACTGTATTAACGTACCAATTCCATTTTTACCACCAATCATCTTTCTCCCAGTCTCACTCAGGTTGCCAATTTATTTTCCATTTATATAGGAGGCAAAAGTACTTAGAGGTGAAAGGAAAGTGACCCTGTGCTTCATTCCTTTATTTTTCGGATGATTCCTAGTATTGTACAATTCACTTTATTACTAGTATAGTATTAAGAAGCAAATCAAATATATTATGGACATGGTTAGCTGCTGGAAGCAAATACATTCTGCCAACTACTCAGCAAGATGGTATCCTAGAATGTCGGAAGGAGAAATGTCTATGTCACTGCTAGTCATACTGACTACTTGCCACACACAGCAGCAACAGTAATTCTGCCAAGAAATACATGAAGAAGGGCACAGCACAGGGAGAATAAATAAGTAAAGAGTATTATTGGGTTTGTAGCCTATAGATCAAGGACACTAAAGAAGACAATGCAAGAAGGTGTAGAATTTAATGCCTCTGGATCCCAGATATTTTGTTTCTCAAATTGAATACGTTGCAAACCATTTACAGTATTTGCTCACAACATCAATTGCAATACTCTGGACCCATTTAATTGGACTGTCGACATTCATTGGGTGCTGGGGCATGTAGCAGGTCCTGATACTCGTGAGACAAATGAATAGTTCAGCTATAGGCCCAGGAAGCTATTCAGTTCTAGTGAATTATAGTGGAAAACAATTGATTTTATTATAGGAAGTGTACATTAGGGATTTTATTTGGGGGACAATATTTTGTAACCAAATACTGTAATTAACATTCATTTTATTACCTTTTATGTGGATTGGCATTTTAAACTTTTTTTAAAAATCTTGTCACAAGGAATTTCAAAAACAATTGGCTGCTTCATAACAGTTTAATGCATTTAATGATGCATTTAATGTGCTTGATGACTTCATCAGAACATGGCATCGCTAAATAAATGTCAGTATTCAATTTCACCTCGAATGTGAATGTGACTGCTGGGTCATCCTTACCTTTCATGAAATCATTTACTTTGCTTCAGCAGTTCCTGATTTTCTGAAAGATCACTGATATTTAATAGACTTTATTCATTAGGGAACAGCTGGATAATTGAGACACTTTTCTTGTCACACAAAGGATATTCCATTAATAGGTGTCCAATGCAATATCCTCATATTGAATATCCGTAAAAGAGCCAATACACAATTAGAAATAAAGCTACAGGTGATCCTTTCAGATGCGTTGTGATATCTTACTCCCCACCACTAATGGTTAACTACAGCATTTCAAAAGTCCCCCTTCATTTTCAGACATTCATTGCATTGCCAATATAGAATATACATGAATCATCAGTTTATGCTAACGATCAGCTAATTTGTTATGACATGTGCACAAGACTTGTAATAAAATATTGTTTCTAAATTGCGTTGCCTTCTACCTTTTTATAAGCTTTCTACCCAACACATAAATGGCTCCTCTCAGTAATGCTTTGTCATTCAGACACTTCCTCCCCTTGGTGCAACTTACTGCATGGAATCTAAATGTTCTGTCATTTTCTACCACTTCACGATGCATGCACCAGTCAGGCTGGTGTGTACACCTTGAAGTCATCAAAGGGAATATGCGAAAATTATAGTACAGTAACTATCTCAGAAAGCACAGAGTATTACTTTCTAATATAATAATATAATGAAGCAACTGTGTTGCACCTTATTCAAATTCATTTAAATAAATTGCTCACTGAATATACAGTATGAAAAAAGACAAAATGGCATTCCATAATTTAGTGCAATTGCCAAGTGATTCATGGCATCAAGCTCAGAGGTAATGCATTCAATGTCATGTGTTTTTGTAAATCTAAAAGTCCTCATTATATTTCCCCTTTTGATGAGTACCACGGGTAAAAAAATACACTAACTCATTATGAATAAACTGTTGTATCACTATCTGCCCAGTACTGAGACAGTCGTTTACCTTTCAGATTCTTCATTTGCTCTTTGTGGTTGGACTATTTCCCTGCTGCATTCATTCCATGCACAATGCAAGCAGCAATAGTACAGTAAGAAGAGATATTAAGCATTTACCCTTCGAACATCTTTTCCAAAGGTTTCACTAAAACTGGTGCCAAGGATCTCAAAATGAACATTATTGTTTGATCCATCATCTCTGAATTCCATAGCTCCTGTAAGTCCATGAATCCGACCCTAAGAGAAACAGGTCAGAACACAGTTCAATCAGTAAGCATTACAGTGATCATCCGCAAAAGATCAGTGATCATCCTGGTTACAATGGCTGTTGCCTGGATCTGCTACACAAAAGCACTCAAGGTGCTAGATCAAAAAACAACTTCACTGAAATATCAAATCCTGTTGGATCATGTCCCCAGGAAGGCTGGGCTTTTTATTTATAAACACTGACCTTAGTATAAATAATAATATAATAATAATTTGATTGACTTAATAATAATAATCCTTGCATTTGATATAGTGCTTTTCACATCTTCTAGATGTCTCAAAGCACTTCACAGGATATACCGCAAAATGACTTGACTGTATATTTTGTTGGTGAAACGCGGCAGCTAATTGCGCACAGCAGTGTCCCACAATCAGTCATGGATTGAGTGACAAAATTATTATTGTTTTTTTTTCTTGAGGGATTATTATCAGACGTGTGGAGTAAGGAAACTTGCCCAAGGTTTCGCTCTGCTGGGAATCAAACCCAGGCCTCTTGCTAGCGAGGCGAGTGCTCCAGCCACTGAGCTCCATGACTCTGAGGGCATAATTTGGTGCCCTTCACGCAGGGTAGAATCTCAGATTTAACACCGCATTCTAAGGCTGACAGCACCTATGATGCAGCATTGCCCCAGCACAGTGCTGGTGTGTCGTGTCAGCCTCAAGTGTGAGTTCAAAAACCCAGTGTGGTACTTGAACCCACAAACTTCTGACTCAGAGATGAAAGTGGTACCAACCATGTTTTACTCCACGAGTGCACTTCGCTCTAGATAAGCACATTACTTATACCCGATTAGAAATGCAATAGATGAATCACTTTACTTTCACTTGGACTTTAGTAAATTCTAATTATCAAACCATTTGTAAATTACTCCCATTATATAGATTTCCAATGAAGCAATCTACTTCTTGTTTAGTTCCACTGTATATAATCCAATGGATGAAGTCACTTTCTACTTATTATTCAGAATTTGAATGGGTTAAATCATCCCATAAAGATGAGTTTGAATAGATCAATTCACTTGGATCAAAATCTATGTTACAAAACCTGTGCACCAAATCAATTTGATCGCACAAAAGCATTCCATTTCCTTTATTCGCATTAATAGATTCACGTTTACAGTTACCTACCTTTTGAATAGTTTCCAGCATGGACCTGCCCCCATTCCATGGTTTAGTAGACTTTCTCATGCAGTTCAAGCTTGCCATGCTGTGCCATTTCCGGTCCTCAAGCTTTCTATGAAAAGCACTGGCTAGTAACAGGACACTGTCATACAGGTACAGGTTGGATGTCTAGAGAACAAAGGAATTGAACATGATTAACTAACCATGATTTAGAAGCAAAAATAAATTCTCAACTTTGATTCTAAATAATAATGATCCTTGTATTTAATATAGCGCCTTATCACATCTTCGAGACGTCTTAAAGTGCTTCACAGAATATACTGTACAGTAAATTGACTGTATATTTTGTAGGCAAAACACCCACAATATCTATCCTGTTTCTAATTTATTGCATTAATTGTGCTCATTGGGAGGGATGACCTTACAAATACACAGCTTATTTCACAGTAAATCCTGTGAAGTGTGTTGAGATTGTCCTTCCCACATGATAAGACACTATCCTAAATGCAAGGATTATTATCATTATCATTAGTTCTACTTTAGGCAAAGGAAAAAAGCTCAGGAAAGCCAAAGCAAGTAATTCTATGAGTAGACTGAAATCCAAACAGTTCACTTTTGAACATTTTCCTTCAGAAAAGCTACTCTGGAGGATTAAGTATTTTAAGTAATCTTTAAAATATCAATGCAGTGACTCCAAACCTGCAAATAAAATGAAAAATCTTCTCAGATAAGATTCTTATCTTTCATTAAAGTCACCCACTCAATATCTATTTTCTAACATTCATAAAGAGCCCAGTTTCTATGATGGTTATAGATTAACAAAAGTGATTCACATCAGCCCAACTGGCTTTATTGAAAGGTATTATTATAAGTGTGCTATATCTTATCTAAAGGCAGATATGTCTATTCTTTCAATAAATGGGGATCAATTCCTACTCCAATGACAAGGACTATCTACATTCAGATTTCTACTATAAGAGTTGCAGATTAGCCCATCTTTAGAGAGTCTTACTATAGAATGTCTTTTATAGTGAGGTTTATTATCAATGAAATAATCCTTGCATTTGAGATAGCGCCTTAACACATTGTCGAGATGGCTAAAACTGATTCATAGGATTTTAAAATGTGAATTGGAGTGACTGTGTTATAGTTCCTTTTGAAGAAAGAATTTCAACACCAGGACAGAAACCTTAAACCGTTTTAGGAGAAGTCTTTTTTTTACCTTTTTTAAAAAATATATATTAAAAAAGCCCCTTGCTAAAATGTGAGCAAATTAAATTAATTATGATTAATTCCAGTGTCACTTTATGAAGGGGGCTTGCATTCTGTGTTTTTTTCTAAATAACAAACTTAATGCAGCCGACTACATCACAACGTGATGCACAGCTCTTCTGGTTCATCTTCCTCACACAACCAAAACAAAGGCTTAAATAAAGCACTTTTTAAAAAGTAAGTGCCACTTTGAGCAAGGAATGTAAATTATACCATCTCATCAATTTATCTGGAGGCTCTATTGAATCCGATAGTGTGAGGACACTACATTGACACCTGCTTTTGGAAGAAAACAATTATCTCGTATCCTATCTATATTAGTTCAGTTAACTCCAATGCCAGACTCCTGCAGGCCAGTAATTCTAATGTTACATAATGAATTCCAAGCACTATCACCTGGCTCTCCATTAGAGCAGATAATGGATATTACATGATGGAGGTACCCATATACTGAACAGTGTATTACACAATACATATACCGAATAATACATTAAACAATAAGTTATATAGTGTACAACATGGGAAGAGCTCAGCAATGTACTTTACATAAATTAAATCTACATAGAGTGAACACTATGTTTCACAGCACTAGCTCTATGTATTAAACATAACATTGTACAGGATTAGCTCTACTTAATGAACAGTGCATTGCACAATGGGAGCTCTATATATTAAACAGTACATTACTCAGAGGACCACCAACAATGTGGTAACAAAACACATAAACTAAGCAATGGATCACTCAGGAACATTGATGGATTAAACTTTCCAATATATTGGACAGAAGAGCCCTTTAAAAACAGAGTGTAGGGAAAATGCATACTTGTGTGATGGTTACAATTTATTTGTTTTGACCATATACAGACCTGTAATGTTTGCAGGTAGCCTTCCTGTGGATCACACAACAATGAGGAAATGCGATGGTTGTTTCTCATGCATCTACGATTCGAATCCTTGGAGGCAGGAAAGACTTGTCGGACCACTGTCATGCGTCCCAGAGCGCTGTGAACGAGCTCCAAAATCTCAGAGTCGCTGATTTCCTGTTAAATCAGAAATGTATAGTTAGACCAGAGAAACTTTTCACTCTATTTTGCGTTATTTTTAAAATAAGCCCCACAGTCTGGTGCTCACTGTCCTTCACATCGGCCGGTTGGCTCAATGCAGGAGGTATGGCCTCTGATGCCAAGATGTTCCATACTGCATTTACACAAGTACCAATTACTGTGGTACAGCTCCACAGACTGAATAACTGACTGCTAACAGTTTTATAGGAATTGATATTGCGCTGAGCTAACTAATTGGATCTTTATAAGGTATTGCTTGCAGTTCTGAAACAAAAAATATGTTCATTTGTATTTATATTTGGCGGGGAACTTTAATGAGAATGAATGTGTGAGCTGAGAGCCATACATTTGTTCCTACCTCTTCAGCCACATTACGAAAACCATAAACCTGTGCAGTTTACATGCTGCTCAGTGGTCTGAGACATCATTAACTGATCCTTTGAAGTAATCTTGGGCAAGTGGCACTTGACAAGGTAAATCTAGAAGATTAAACATATTGCTACCCTGCTCCCGACATTTTTAGAATTTGTGCAAACTAATCACATCTCTCATTTTGTGCCATAATAATGTTGTGCTGCAATCAACATGACTAATTAACATAAATATTAAATATTAATGAAATAGATTTCATTTGAATATGACCTGACCATCCACAGATGAAAGAGACTCAAACATATGGCAGTGAGTAGCAGAAACAGAAGGTCGCTAACTGTAACATAACAGTATTTATATCATAACATGGTGTCTGGGTTATAGAGTAGCCAATTTAAGGTAACATTCAAAATTTAATAACCTGGCTGCTTAAGACTAAACTCATTGTGATTTTTTTAATAACTGTTCCAAAAACAAGATCTTCATGTCAATGTATTTTTGTTTCAAACATATTTCAAATGTATCCCTACATTGTATCCTCTCTCTCAAACTATTTTGCCCTCTGAGGAGGGCGAAATAAAACACTCCACAGGTATCACCACAAAACTTGTTCCTTATTCAACGTATCTAAGTCGATACCAAAGCAATGCAGGTCATCTCTCCCCTTTCCAGACAGCTTTCTCTCATGACTGGTAACCTACTTCAAATAATAATATTCCTTGCATTTGATATAGCGCTTTTCACGTCGGGAGGACCTCCCAAAGCGCTTCACAGAACAAACTGTAAAGTGAATTGACTGTATATTTGTGGGCGAACGCGGCAGCCAATTGCGCACAGCAATTTCCCACAAACAGTCGTAGATTGAAAATGACCAATTTATTATTGTTTTTGGTTTTTAGAGGGATTATTATTAGGTGTGTGGAGTAAGGAAACTTGCCCAAGGTTTCGCCCTGACCTGCCTGGAATTGAACCCAGGTGTCTTGCTTGCAAGGCAAGTGCTCTAACCACTGAGCTATAGGACTCCACATAATAGTTGAGTAGGTTTACATGGTAAACATTTGTTTATAGAGTCTAAGAAGTAGCATATTCTGAAATTAGAGGAATTATTATACAAAATCATTTTTATGTGATACAGCCTGCTCTGGAATTGTGTCAGAGATTGTGTCTCTGACCAGTCAGACACTGGTCTAGTCCTTGATGTGAAATGACAGGATAACAAGTCACGGCATCCAGAGAAAAGATTGTAACTCCTATTTATCAAGGCAGGATTTTAACCAAGGTCCCTGAGGTAAAAGGACAATTTTGCAATAAATATAGAGGTCCTTAAGCTCCTTAGTCTAAACTGGATTTGAATCGAGCTAGTCACGATTATGTACAAACCGACTGCACCACCCAGTGTCCCATTGGAAGAATGGGACACTGGGTGGTGCAGGGAATGAAAATGAATCCTCAAAACATTGTTAAAAAAAAACAGCTCAGCCTGTGTTTTTAATACAGTAGCAGATTACAACAGCAGCCGACCCAATCACATGTCATACTCTTCAATTTACACAACTTCTCTTCTGTAGAATTCATTTCAGGGTGACTGGCTAAATTGTTCTAATTTATTTACCACTGCATTCAGACAATCACACTTTTTTTGGAGGGGAGATCCTAAACATTTAAAAATGTCCATTAACGGGCCATCATGTTTTCACACATTCTGGGGTCCTCAAGGCTTACCTCTTTTTCTAACCTGTGCCTAATACTCCAAAGTTAAGTAAGCACGTTGTAGGGAGACAGTGGAATTCCGAAGTAGGTGGAATACATGGAACTCAGTTTTTTTTTTGATACTCTTAAACATGGTGATGAGTTTCCACATGTGGTAGACACTTGGCTGACCAAAAACAAAATGAAAAGACTCAGATCTACTTCTTGCTGCAGTCTAATTAATTTACTCGAATCACTAAGTCAATTTGAATCAATTAGAAATACAAAAAAAATAAAGCAAGAAAGCAGCTGCATCAACTCAGGCCTACTATCCCCCAGACCAGTAATGTTGTGTCCTCCCGATGTGAAAGGCGTTATACAAATGTAATTTGTTGTTGTGTTGACTTTGTTGCAATTAGAAAATAACAGACTTGGTTGATTGAAACATTGTTAACATCAAGATGCATTTTCCACTGTAGAATTAACTCAGCGGTAACACTGCAAGTGGGCTACCACCAACTTAGCCAATCATTAATGCACAAGCTCAGTCAAGCTAAGCGATGTGGTAATCCAATAACACTAAACATTTACACTGGTACTCAAGTAGTGTCAGAAAGACAGAAGACTATAAAAAAATGATTTGGTGCAATATTCAGAATTCCCAATACACAATAAGCATTTATATAGCACTGATGCATGATGATGCTTCACTAAACAAATGAGTGGCATCTGCAGCATATCGTAATGATCAATGTGAAACTGACATGGCACAAATACATCATCTGCGTGAATGTATTTCTGAAAGTAGTACTCAGGAGACCAGCGACATATGACATGTCCGCAACAATTTATTCACAATTGATCAATTTATTTTGAACCAGATGAGTCATCTACATGTATATGGAAGCAAATGGAGAAGTGAAAAGATGCTGGACATAGAAGCTATTTTTAAAAATATTTACACAAAGAAACTATTGTAGATGCAGTGCTAGGGATGCACTGCATTGTTGGAGTTGCATATTTCAGATGAGATGTTAAAATCAAGGTCATGTCTGTCTGTTCAGGTCACTATTAAACGTTCCACTGTGCTGTTGAAAAAGATTGGCCAACAGTCTCCCCCCAAAAAGATTGATCATTTATTTCATGGCTGTTTGTGGAACATAAACACACAATCACTCCACTTTACAGTATAACCTGAAATGCTTTGAGATGCCCTCCCAAAGTGAAAGATACTATATTAAATGTAAGGATTATTATTTATTATTATTACATGCATTTGACTTAATTTAATATAATTTTCTTAAATGTTATAAAGGCACATAAAACAGGAATTGTTCTGTGTAGTTTTGAAATAAGATCATCTTATTTCCTTGCTTTAGAACAAAATCCTAAAGCCCCACAATATCAGAACATGTTGACTTACACTTTATATATTACAGTAAAACTCACATAACTCGTACCAGAAGGGACCATAATATTTAGTATGATTTAAGCGAACTTTGAGTTGCAGACAAACTGTATAAGTGGTAAAAAATCCAATTTCGGGAGCAATAGAGTGTGGGACAGTGGTGTTATGAGTTATGAGGTGAGTAATATGAGTAGTGCAAAGAAATCTAAGTTATTTTGATAAGAAACTCAATGGGACTCAGGTGATTGTACGACTTAGGTGATTATACGACTCATAAAGATAAGACGTATGCGAGTTTTAATGTATAAGCAATTATACACTCAATGTACTCTATATATATGTCTTCTTTATACAAAGATGTCTAGGGACTGTTTCAAGCACACCCTTACAGATTGGAATCAAGGCAGTTCTCACTCTTATGGACCAGCACAATGATTTGAGACTGATGTTACCCAGTCAACTTGGTTTAGCTTGAGTGCATGATGGTGTGCAATCGTGGCACATCACAGTCTACCCGGAGGTTCCCAGATCACACGGTGACATGTAAGCTGTGCACCATCGCACGCAGCAGTAGATGAATGTCCTCCACCAAAGTACTCTTTCTGAGCATGTAAGAGGAATAGTATCTATTCATCCAGGTCAATGTGTCCCGCAGCATTTTAAAAGCAACCCTCAGAATTGAAGTGTAAAAGCCAGAAAATTTCCTGGGCAGGTTCCACACACAGGTGATTTGTCTACAGCGGAGTCATCTGTCAACACCCAAAAGGAGTTTAGACTGAATCTTCCTCCTGGTGAGAGACACTGACTGTGGCGTCTTCACCATCTCCTGAAATTGTGACAGTCTCTTGCATCAACTCAGTGATAGATAAAACTATGGAGATATAAGAGTCAGCTTACATTCTGAAATCTTGAAGATTTCTTTTTTTACAGTAAGATTGAAGGCAGGAAGCAACTTGAATTACTTACTTGGAATACAAAATGCAAAGGAGCATCATGAATGTTGATTTAAGTCTTTATCAAATATTGTTGGCTTGTATAGAACAGTGGTAATATTAATTTTAGAAAGAGAATGGAACAGTGGTAATATTAATTTTAGAAAGAGAATGTATACATGATATATATTTGCAAACAAAATAAAAATTATTATTACTTACCAGGTTCCACAACACTCTCAACATCACCCTGAATATGGCATATCTCTACATTGATTTTCCTTGGTTTGGTCAGTGATTATTCTTGATTGATCTTTCTACAGTTGGTGAATGGTCATCTTTCCATAGTATTCCAATGTATATCTTGCAGAATGTTTAACTTTGCTGATTCTCTTCCAATAGCCAAACAGATTTCTGCAGACTGTAGAGCAACAATTTGGGCTCACAATGCTAGCCCATAGTTTAAAACTGTGATGTGAATTTTAAAAGCAGAGAGTCAATCTTCTCTCTTTCTAAATTCAATGCTGATGCATGGAGATACACTTCATTGAAACATAATCCTTTTGTATGAGTTCTGATCTAGACTTGTACTGCTTCAGTGGCATAATTTACACAGATCAAGTGACCTCTATTAATTGGTAAGCATGTTATTTTCCTTATTTTCCTCCTAACTAATTATTCACAAACTTCTCTGAAGAAACTTATTTGGCAATAATTCTAAAATAGACCTTACGCTCAAAAGCAGAAAGCATATGGGCTTTTTGGGCTAAAAGCCCAAACTGGAAGAGATGCATTTGCTTCATGTGATAAAGCCTATTGAAGTGCCATCTTTTTAATCCCATTTTTACCATTTCTCCAAATTCCCAGAACCCATTAAATCCGAAATACCAAACTATCTCCATCCTGTCCAGCTCCATTAATAATGGATATATCTTGTTCACCTACAAAATATACAATCACTAAACTTTATAGTAAATTCTATGAAGCATTTTGAGATGTCCTTTCAATGTCAAAGGTGATAAAACAAACATAAGCATTATTATTATCATTACAAGTAATTCATGAAATATTTCCTATGAAATTGTTGGCAGTTTTTCCTATAAAATTGTTTGGGCAGTGGAATCCATATTCTCACAACTGCATTCTTTAAGGGTTGCTTGATTCACCATTGCCCTGATTTGCTGCTAATGTAACAATATATCTTCTTGCTCTGGATTTTTATACCAATGGGAGGACCTATACTCTTCCTAGCTTGCCATTACCAGTTTATTCTTTTCTAGCTGTACCCATTGCATCTTCGCTTGCAACTAAAGGATCCAATATGAAATGTAGATTAACACGTAGACAGACCTTTCATCTTTATCTATACTTAACTGGGAGGTGGGAGGACTCCTATTGGAAGGACTCCTATTGGGAGGACTCCTGTGGGAGGACTTGTTGGGAGGCCTCCTTGTTGGTATGCATACGTTTGATGAGCTTGTAGGTCATAGCTTTTCTCTCTCGCTACTTTGTTACAGAATATATTAGTATAGATGTATCTCTCTAGAAGGTTGTGTGATTTCCTCTGTCGCTATTTTGTTGAAAAGTACATCTACATGTACATCATGTACATCTCATATTTTGGGGCTTAATTAGAGCATTTTTTAAATGCTCATCAACGATAGGTGATCCCCAGGGACAAAATAATCCCATGACACTCCCCAATGCAAGATCTTTCCGATGAGGTATAAATTGTGTCTTTATGTCAATCAGTTATTGCGCTCTTGACGGACAGACACACACACAGACATTTTGTCTTTATTAGTATAAAAGATAAAACTGTGTCTAGTCACTCTCCCCTGCTTGGCGTCAAGTTCCACCACCATTAAGCACTCCTAGACTCTATCCGTGTGAAGAGCACCACATGCACGCAAGTTGTTGTTTTATTGTTTTAAACACCTTATTGAGGTCACTTCTCAACTTCCTCAGCTCAAAGGAAAATAACAGGATTAATCAAAAATTAGTGCATTCAATTCAGATCTTCGATGCCAGTGCACCATTCCCAATTTATGGTTCCCAAAACATCACACACAAATAGAAAATGAGGTCTATGAAGTGTTGTTTTAAATTGCAGTAGTATTTTCTTTGTATTCTACACTTCATGTGAAAAAGTCCAGCATCTCATTAGCCTTTTCCCACACCAGTCATCTTTGTGACATTTCTAAATAAGATTGCCATTTAATGTCAATTAATTGTGAAATATGAACATGTATTGCTAAGAGTACATGCTCACTACCACTAGAATGAGGTTGTTCAAACTCAATTCAGCAACACAGGCAGCAGATAGAAATAAATTTATAATGAGGTAAAGTATATATCAAGAATACATAAATTTCCCATATGAATGGGAAATTTATTTAAAAGTTTTGTATGTGATAATGAAATAATTTCAGTGGGATGTAAGGAAAGTTGGCAGGTTTTTTTTACATTAGTTTGACAAAATCGTGGTTTGGTGATTCAGTCCTGATAATTTGGTTTGGGTAGTTCAACTGCTTTACAATGATTAAAGAAGCTGCCGTGGAAATGAACATGAAATTAACATGAATGCTAGTTCTAGTTTTATGCTCAACTGCCAAAAAATGACTGATGTTTGGACCAAGGAATACAATAAAACAAGCATTTGCCATAACAACGTTTAACTCTCTGATAAAACGGAGGATTTTGCGAGTTCCGAAGTGGATGAGTGGAGCTGATGAAATGCATTACACTACAATACAATTCATATTGATATAGAGCCTTTCACAATGGGAGGACATCTCAAAGCGCTTGACACTGCTACCTGGGCACACAAGCTGGGGGTAGGAGCTATAAAGAATGGACAGGGAAAGATGACTAAAAGCATGGTAAAAAAAAACCTTGATATATAACAGTGATAAGTCAAACTTCACGTTACTCCATATAATGTATAATATTAAGTGCATCCTCAATATCTGAATCACTGTCTAAATGTTGCTTTGTTCACAAACCATAATTATAGATACGAATGATTGTTTGCAGAAATTCCCTACATAAAAGCTGTGTGACAGAATCCCACTGTAAAATTTATTTTATTAAGATTGGTTAGATGCAAGTGTTCCTGGGTGTAACATTTATGAAAAGATAACACAAATCGCCAATCGCCACATAGAAGTATTAGGAAAATAAGATACAATGCAAGGGTAAAGGGAATTAATATAGATTTTGTGGATCTCCTACGAGCATAATGAATATTCCTTTGTGTTTATTGGCAGATTAGGGAATAGAGAGTTGATAAAGGAAAAACCTGGCTGCCTCTTCATTTTAATTGGGTCATTACCCCCCTCCCCCCCAAAAAAAGAAACCCACCCACAGACACACACGCATTCATAATAACTATCAAATAATTATACCACAATTAATATGGGGTGATTGAATTCATAGTAGAAATGCAAGTTTTAACTGTTCATTAATTAAAAAATAATCATTGGAAAATGCACCACAAAATACAAAGCAATTATTTTGTCATGATGGAAATGGAATAAAATCTGCATCTTTCTCATCACTGTTAAAGCATCAAAAGTTTTCTCTCTATAAAGTAATATGCTTACTATTCTGTGAAATTCCAGACACCTTTTTGTGGGAAAAAAAATTTAGACTGAAGTAAACATAAACAATTTACAAACATGTTTGCACAGCTGAAAAATTAAGGTACCGTCTCCCCCTGCAATAAATCAATAATGATTGCCCAGTTATATGTGAAGCACAGATAAACATGAAAAGAAAAAAAATAGAAATAAGAAGCTCCTTATTATGAATTAGTCATCGATTTTTCAAAATATTTTTGCCATATCCTCCCGGGTGTTGTGGTTTCCTGTGGAGCTGTTTGCTGTATGTTACATTGGAGGAATTAATGAGAGTCAGTCAGAGTGAACATTTCACATGGAGTTAGGCATAGCCTGACTCATTAATGCAGGTTAGCTTTCTGTACATTTGTTGATTTCTGGAAATCCCATTATAAACTCATACCAAGGTCTGTAAATTTACTGACCAGGAGATAATATGATATTTTCACCCTCAAGGTCTGTAAATTTATCATTGAATCTTTCCTAAACCCAATATTGGATTGTGAAATTAGACCTGGAGTTCTAAGTGACTCCCAATTTCAGAATCCTCACACCAACAGTGGAGAGAAGGAGTAAAACATTTTGAATATTAAAATAAAATCTAGGTATTAAATGGTTTAAGGACTGTACTAAAGGGCAGGGTTGTGTAAAAGTAATATCTTGCACGTTTTAACATTTAGAAATAGATAAATGTATATAAATCTGATCCTAGATGAAATAAAATCATCAATTATGTCTGCAAAGATCACATTTTGTATACATTTGACAACATAACTTTTTCTTTTATACACATTAAAAATATTTGGTTCTGCATATGCAGTTGAGATGAAGTTTTTAAAGCAGGCAGGTTTCCATAAGGGTCATAACAAATCCTGGATGAACTACTTAGATTTCTTCTTCCTCTGTGTGGAGAAACACTTAGCATATCCTTAGTAATTGAGCAGAGCAACCCAACTGAGATTGTAAATTCAGCAGTGAGTGAGATGATGACCATTTAACCTGAATGAGCTGTGTTGGATGTATTTGTAACAAAGGGCACACACTTACCTCATTTACAAAGACCCAGTGGCTGTCCTTCGAGGCCAGGTTTGTCTCCACCGCCTGCAAAAACACAAAGGGTCAGTCAGTAGAAACAGAAACGGACGGATTCACGCAAGCTACAAGGCAACTACGACATAATGGGCTTAGATAATGTCAAACCACATGAGTGAAGCAGGAGCTGTTGATGTTATTATAAGAATGTAACTGCTTTGAAACGACTCGCGATGATTCATTTTTACAGAATGTATACAGTACAACGATCAGTGTTATCTTGTAATTCCTCCCCCTTTTCTCTTGAAATCAACTCAAACCATGCATCACGTCTCAGCTGTAGGGTAGAAAGACAACCTGCTGCCAGGTATCTACCGATAATGCTCTCCATCTGCCCAGACACATATTAGAGCTTATGACAACTCCCCTTCCCATTTTACTTCCTCCCTGTGGGAGATTGCCAGCTCCCAGCTTGGTGCCTCCCCCATTGGCACAGTTATGATTTGGAGCTTGTTGTGTGGGGAATTGTGGACAGGAAACCTTTCACAGTGGTTTGGATCCAATATGCGGTGCCTTATCAAATGGATCTTTTTAAAGTCTATTCAATTATCACAGCTTGCCCACTTTAGGAAAGTATCTCTTTATACTGATTATTAAGTGTCAGCTTGGCTCAGTGGTAGCACCCTTGCCTCTGTGTTGTGCCCCACTTTGGGACTTGAGTTTACATAGTCTAAGCTGACACTCCAATACAGTGCTGGGAGTGTGTTTCATTGTTGGCAGTGCATCCTTTGGATGAGATGTTACACTGAATTCCCATCTGCCTGTTCAGGTGGACGTTAAAAATACCATGGTACTATTCGAAAAAAGGGAAGGCGTTTCTCCTGGTATCCTGGAAAACAATCTCCCAAATAAATCCTCTAGGATTTGGTCATTTGTTTCATAGCTATTTGTGGGCAATTGCTGTGCGTAAATGTGCTGCCTTGTTAGCCTACAAATGCACAGTCATTCCCTTTCACAGCAAATTCTGTGAAGCAGCTCGAGTAATCCTTCCAATGTGATAGGCGCTATATCAAATACAAGGATTATTATTATTATATAATTTATAATCATGGTGGATGCAGGTTGAATTTATATGAAGTGTTTTGACATAAGCAAGACAAATATTGTAAAGCTGTTTGCAGATTTGCTTTTGACATCGACCTTTCACATCCGGAAAATGTCTCAAAGTGTTTCACAGGATTTTATTAGAAAAAAANGAATACTGACAGCCATTTTTGCAGGGCAGCTTGTTGTTCTGTCCCACAACAGCTGTGAGGTGACTGACCAATATTATGCCACAGGATATTTTAATGTCCACCTGAATAAGTAGATGGGACTTCTGTAGTGTTGTATCAGCCTAAACCATGGGTTCAAAGGGCTGATGTGCAGCTGGAGCCCATAACCTTCTGATTCAGTGGCAAGAGGGTTACTAGTTGAACCAGGCTATCACCTTGTATCAATGTAGATGGGCAAAGCTGATTAAAATATTGTATTGACGGGTCTTGGAGCTTATGAACACCACAGTGAAAATTAGCAATACTGATAAAAGTCAGAACCTGCTATCCCAGAATTCAGCATCTAGAGATTCCCAACCTCAGTTAAAAAACAGTATCATACTCTCTTGTTACCAAATTTTTTAATCTGCTCCGAGTTTAACCAAACTATGATTTTGTAAATCCTGGGTTATAATAAAAATAATAATAATCCTTGCAATTGATATAACGCTTTTCACGTCTTCTAGACGTCCCAAAGCGCTTCACTGAATATACTGTAAAGTGGATTTGACTGTATATTTGTGGGCGAACGCGGCAGCCAATTGCGCATAGCAATGTCCCACAAACAGTCATGGATTGAAAATGACCAATTTATTATTGTTTTGTTTTTTTGGAGGGATTATTATTAGGCATGTGGAGTAAGGAAACTTGCCCAAGGTTTCACTCTGCCTGGAATTGAACTCAGGTCTCTCGCTTGCAAAGCGAGTGCTCTAACCACTGAGCTACAGGACTCCACAGGGTTATGTGAGGATGGTGAGATTGTAGAGTGCCGGGTGGCAGTCCCCTTGAATGCCTCTTCTCTACAACAACAGAGGCCTGGTTAAGATCATTGGAGATGTGCAAGAATTGTTCTCAAACCACCCCCCCTGTTTAACATTTCTCGTACCTTTACACTTATGCCAACAAATGAGGTGTGGCTGAAGCATTTCACCTTCAATGGATGGTTTGCCATTCAGGGCTATCAAAACTCAATATAATACTGATACTGTTCTCTTCTGAAATTTAGATTTTAAAATGGTTTGCAAGTAGAATCTAATTCAATCTTTTTCTCACAACATGGAACCTGCCAAAAAATGCTCGCTTACTCTACCAAAACATACCTCCTGCTACCTTATGATGATTCTGTCTCAGAGTTTTTCCCATTTACCTTTCACTAACAATTCTGATAACTGACCATCTCATACCCGTCACAGTCAGAGCAGATAAGGGCTGCTGGAGACTGCTGCTGCCTTCATTTAACAATAGTTCTACAGCTATGGAACCCAAATTCTGCAGTATCATTAGCAAGTGATTTTCTTTGCGGCAGACAGGGCAGACAGAGTACATAATGGTGCAGAAATCATTGCTCCTTACAGCTCATAAACAAGATGTGGTGAGTAGATTGCTAGCACATTGCTCAATCAGAGAGTAACGATTCACATTATGGATCACTTTCATGGTAGTGAACACCAGGTAAAAGCTGATGATTCACTCACATCTAGTATCAAGCGACCTGTATTAATCCTAATGCTAATTCCTGTACACATATGGCTTAGACTGAGAATGTTGTATGTTCTCGTAGCAGCCGCGTTGATCTTAAGTTCAGGACAATTATTGGCTGGTTTATTGTCACGAGTAGACACAGCAGCTGTATCAATACACATCTCCTATACCATTAGTTTACGACTTCTTTACAAAGTATGTACCTCTCTGGTATGCCGTTCAGATTGACATTGTATGTGACGGTTTAGACATGGAATTTCACAACTATGTGCATCGTCAAAGAAAGACAAAGCCTGACTCATCTGGTAGCAATCTCGTCTCTGAGACAGAAAGTTGTGGGAACAAGCCCCATGTCAGGACTTTCATACAGTCCAGGCTGACATTCCGATGCCGTGCTGGGAGTGTGATGCATGGTTCTAGATAAAGAAATTGTTCTAAATTAAAATTGGTTTTACTTAAAACTTTTAGAAACCTGCATTTTATTAATGTTGCATTGTGTAATATATCTACTTTTGATATTGGAATAGCACCATCACAGCAATATTAAGGGATTTTTCTACCCATTGTTGCCTGTGTTACGTTATTCATAAAGCAGCCACCACATGAAACAGAATTCCTTTGAGCTGCAGGCAATATAAGGGTTAATTTAAAAATGACAAATTGATTCTCTAAGTTTGAATAATTCAGGACCCTAAATTCCTCTGCTGGTTAATATTAATCAGAAGGTGTAGGGTGAATGGGAAGGTCTAGGAGCAATCAATAAACTGCAGCAAGTACTGTAGGTATTAATGCTTCACTTTGGTGTACTTAAAATACGGCAATTTCTTCCAGCCTCGTCCTCTGCATGACTAAGACAGGTTTCATACTGTTCATCACATACCATCACATCCTCCTGTTGTTTTGCATGCTAATTGACTGCCCTCTCCCAACAAGACTGTGTTGGCATCACTCCAAATGATGTCCACAAGTTCTTGCAGGGTCCAATCTCAGAATAACCTGTTGTGCTGTGATACTTTTGACTGCAATTCTGCCCCTCGCAGCTAGATTCATTTATTTTTAGATTCCTAATTCTAAAATGGATCATGAAGGTACTTTCATAGTGTGAAATAATCACCATTGATGGTACCTCCCCTTTTCTTGCAATGTTTTTTCTTTTCTAACAGCACTAAACATCTCACACGTAGGACTGGGGAATTTCAAGTCCTCCAGCAAACGTATTAGCATTTCTTTCATTGGTTTCTGAAAAAGATCATGTGTGTTGTAAGAGGAAATTTGGCCCCAAAGTCTTTAATTGAGCTGTCTTGACAACATGATAGGCCGTATATCAAATGTAAGATTATTATTATAATTGAATAATATATTGCACCAATCACTACAGTATCATTAATAATGATTCTTGCGTTTGACATCCTTGTACCCTTGTACTCCGACATTTGTGGTCCTCTGCTCTTACCCGGTTCTCTGTATTAACCTGCTGGACCTATTGAGTTTGGTTTTCCTGATCTTTCATCATCAGACGAATGCTTCAGTATGGCTGCTGGTTCCGAGTTCTCCTAAGGAAGTTCAGCTCTAATACTTCACAATACTACTTCTCTTTATGGTCCTGACTCTGCAGTTCTTGTTTCCATCAGCTTCCATCTCTTTCTCATTTATCGCCTTTCTGTGGCGGCTATTAATTTTATCTCTTGGCCATGCACCAATATATTTTCTGTCATCTAGGCTATTAGATTGAACCATTAAGCTATGAATCACCAGCACTGGCAGGGCCATGATCAGCCAATAAGCATCCTTATCAGATTTGAAAAGACAGGAATATGCAATCACATCAAAGGTGACCCAGTTACATCATCAGGTCACCTATCACAACTCAACTGAAAAATTGACAAACTTTGGAAAATAAAATAATGGAAAATGAAACAAAAAAAATGACACTGAAGTACAATTAGCAGGTGCTGCCACACAATCCAACTCCAGCAACCAACAGGGAGCGATTTGAGTTTATTTTTCTTTGGAAGCAACTGTTCCGGGGAAGGAATCTACTCACCAATGACATGTTAATTGCCTATTTTAAATGATGTTGATTTCATTCCGTTTCTACATCTCAGAATTCACCCAAAATAGATTTCATGATGACAGGTTTTATGTGCTTTTAGCAAGAGATTTCGTTTTACAGTCTTTTAAACATCGCCTTCAGTGAAAGGATAAGTTACAGTCTTATCAAAATTTGAAACCCAGGGAAATGCGAAAATGTTTGAACATAAATATGAATTTTAAAAGACTGATCTCAGCCAGGGCAGCAATAAGGGCATTACAACGAGCACACAGAACCCACGCCCAGGAGAACAATAAAATCAGCCAGGGTTTTCACTCCCGATCACTTTCCAGTGCTATCTGTTGGAAAGCAGACATATATGGAGATCAGGTCAGCTATTTTACCCCTTCCAAGGTTTGAATAGCCTCAATATCTAGAGTCACTTGTGAACAATAAATTTGAAAGGCATTGGAGGGAGCCAAGTAACCATTGCCCAGCAGGAATCAGTGCCTTCAGAAGAGTAAGGTTAATCGTAGCAAGAGTTGACCCCAAGCTCCTCCTGGCCACTTTTTGGTAGTTACAGAAATGTTTCTAACAGGTGATTATGAAGCAAGCTGCCTGCTGTTCTCTGCAGTGCAGTTTATGTTTTTTTAAAAAAATATTCTAAAAGTTTGTACCTAGCTTTTTTTCATACACAATCGATCTTTCATACAAAGGACATTGAATATTAAGAAAGATTTCAGTGATTTTCTTTGTGTTGCCATGACTCCCTGAGTATTCAGTCATCTGATATGGAATCGACCAGAGAATGGATCACTTGCCATGAGATATTCCTTCAGTCCTCGTCAGTGGCTGGATGGGTACCCATGATGGGCAGCTGAACATTCTTCCAGGCAGTATCACTGTTTGGATATTGATAACACTATATAGGCTTGAAGATCAATTCATCATCTTTTGAACAGATTTAGATCCAACACAAATTGCTGGGCTATTCCTTTACCCACAGGGTAGTTAACAACTAGAACAGGTTGAGGCGAGGACACTGGACTATTTAAAAACACAGCTTGATGCTATCAAGCTACCGACCCATCTCCAACCTCCCTTCCTGTCCAAGGTCCTTGAAAGAGTTGTCGCCTCCCAGCTGCGCTCTTTCCTCTCCACCCATTCATTCGGGTTTCTGTGCTGCCCATAGCACAGAAACTGCCCTGGTCAAGGTCACCAATGACATCCTGACCATTTGTGACCAGGGCTCCCTCTGCCTCCTCGTCCTCCTCGACCTATCGGCAGCATTCGATACGGTCGACCACGCTATCCTCCTCCCGCTTGTCCTCCCACCTCAACCTTCAAGGCCCTGTCCTTGAATGGTTCAGGTCGTACCTCTCCCACCGTCTTCACTTTGTTTCCACGAACGGCTTTTCCTCCAGCCCCCGCACTGTCTCGTGTGGTGTCCCTCAGGGCTCTGTCCTCGATCCCCTCCTCTTCACCTTCTATATGTTCCCCCTTGGTGACATCATTCACAGACATGGGGTTAACTTCCACATGTATGCGGATGACACCCAACTCTACCTTTCCTCCTCTACCCCAACTCCACGACCACCAATGTCCTGACAGTCTGCCTGTCTGACATCGAGTCCTGGACGAGAGACAACTTTCTTCAGCTCAACGTGCGCAAAACTGAGGCCCTCCTGATTGGCTCACGTCAGCGCCTCCGCACCTCAGGCACTGACAGCATCAGCATCCAAGGCTGCACTCTCCACCTCTCAAAGCCAGTCAGGAACCTCGGTGTTCTGTTCGACCCTGAGTTGTCCTTTCTTCCTCATATCCGCGACACAACTGGCACCGCCTTCCATCACCTCTGGAACATCGCCAGACTACGGCACTACCTCACCCCTCACGCTGCTGAAACTCTGGTCCACGCCTTTATCACCTCAAGGCTGGACTATGGGAACTCTCTCCTCGCCGGCCTTCCCGACACCTCCCTCCACAAGCTGCAGGTCATTCAGAACTCTGCAGCTCATGTGCTGTCCCGCACCCGGCTTCGTGACCACATCACTCCCACCCTCGCTCGCCTCCACTGGCTCCCCATCCCCCAGAGGATCGAATTCAAGATCTTCATCCTCACCTACAAGGCCATTCACGGCCTTGCTCCCTCCGTTCCTCTGGCTCCGGTCTGCTCCACATCCCCCCCCCAAACGCCCTACCATCAGTGGCCGGGCCTTCAGCCTCTCAGCCCCTAGGCTCTGGAACTCTATCCCCCAGTGCCTTCGCCTTGCTTCCTCCCTTTCCTCCTTCAAGGACGGTCTCAAGACCCTTCTCTTTGACCGTGCCTTCAGCTCCCCTCTCGACTCTCTACCCCCTCCTCGCTCCCTCCCCTCCCCTCACCCTGACCATTTCCCCCCTGCTCGGGTACTGACCCAACTGTACAGCGCCTTGGGACGTTCTCCCGACGTGAAAGGCGCTCTATAAATGGAATCTTGTTGTTGTTGTGATGAGAAGACAGGTGGGTATTCTGGAAAATGGGTTGAAGGGCTTTCTTCATCCAAACCAAATAAATCTTGTAAATCTTGGATGAGTGTCTCCTTTCCTGCTGCTATAAAGGTACAGTGGACAGTCTCAAGCCAGTTCCTAATGAGTCCACAGCATAAAACTGTCCACAATTTAACATAAATTAGCATTACCTAGTCAATCTGACTCATAAGAGTATGATAACTATTGTGAGGATGGTAAAATGGTGTGTTGTACTGTTGTGAGTTTGGAGACGAGACACGTTATAGGAAAAAGATTTTACTCTCTGCTCTGGCAGAGTTGATGCCATCACTAGGTTCAAAATGTGGAAAATTGCCTCACTACAAAACTGACATTCCTCAATTAAATCAAACAAATTCTCCCACCGACCCCAAAGACACATTTATTTTATTACAACAGATCACCACTAGCGAGTTAATGGCAGTCTGTTACCTTGTGATGGGTTTCAATTCAGGATTTTGTTTGGCCCTGAGATCTTATTCATTTTAAGAAAATAACTATTTATGTTTTGTTAAAGGTGGCAAGTAGCTGGCATTTTATTGTGTCTTGGCATTAAAAGAGTTTACAGTCAGGGAAAGAAATTGGTGGGGGGGTGGGAGATCTGAATTAGATACTAAATCAATGAACAGGAACATTGTTTAATCAAAAGCAGCTTTCCTTCAGGCTACAGAAAAACGAAAAACAACACATAGGGCAGGACCCCCTTTAAATTCATACATTTCCTCAGACTTACTAATTGACTGATAGATAGCAATTCAACCACTTTTTTACATAAAATAATACATCAGGATTTTTAAAATAATAGAGTGCCCACAACTTCTCAGCAGCTATATTGGCATACCTCCCTTGCACCACAATGCAGTAAAACACAATAATAAGAGCTCTGAAGCAGACATTAGCTGAGCTCAAAGTGTCTGACAGATATCTGAACTGTACAATATAAATAATCCACTAATACCATTCATCCTCTTCAAATCACATTGAAAGATACTAACCTTTACAGATATTGAACCTCATTGAAATCTGACGGATTTACAAGTCTTTTCTGGATGTTAGCTTTTAATGCACTTCAGTTCTTTTAAAATAAAATCTTTAACAGCCCTCCTTTCAAAACTATTGTCACATTGGCAGTGAAATAGAACAGATTACTGGGCTTTTTGGTAAATTAGGAGATAAAAATCTCTTCCAACATGTTACACATCGAACACAGTATCACAAGTAGGGGCAAACCAAAATAAAGGAAACTGGGGCAGCGAATGTTTTCATGATGAAACAAGGAAATGCTCAGCAAAAAACAGATTCAGTAGTGTACATATTATATTGGAAAGATCCAGAAAAAAGTACCAGAAAACATGCACCAATGGTCCCCAGAATAACGTTCCATTCAAATCAAACAGCTCAACATAGAGATAAAGAGATAGAGAGAGGGACAGAAAGAGAAGGGAAACACTGCCTCAAAAATAAGGAGATGTACAAAAACAATCTCACAGAAAGAAGATATTTATATAAATAAGTCATCTTTGCATTTGATACAGTGCCTATCAAGTTGGAAGGCTGGATGTCTCAAACTTCTTCACAGGATGTATTGTAGAATATAGTGACTGTTTATTTGTAGGCAAATGCGGCAGACAATTTTGCACACAGCAATGCCCCACAAACAACAGTGAAGTGAATGACCAATTTGATTTCAGGATTGTTGGGCACAATAATACACATTGGGAGAAATTACAGAACAGCACTCTGGCAGCACTGAATGGGAGTATCAGCCTATACTATGTATGCTCAAAATTCCAACATGGGGCTTATACCCACAACTTTCTGAATCAGAGGTGAGAATGCTACTAACTGCACCATTTCAGTCCAGACACAGCAGCAGGGAGAATGCACTTGAACAGCAAAAGAGAAACTGACGAGGTTGATACAAGTGAAGCATATTAAATAAATTGTACTTACTAACTTACACAGGCCACATGCACAGGGTGCTCAGTCTTACTCTGACACTCAAAGAGTCAGTGTACATGTACTGGCACGTACAAGCCGTGTCAAGCCATCGTGCTTGGAATTTCAGAAGAACTAAGGATGCCCAGCATGTGTAGCCAATAAAACTGCACGTGACATATTGCTGCTTGTGTGTCTGTGCGCTGCAGAACCTTAGCTCTGTCTACTCCAGAATACAGTGGTAGCCTGCTTAAATGAATAATCCCATTCGGCAACTCAATTTGTTTATTTATCAAGGTTATTCCACAGAGCAAAGTAATCTGGTCATTCTATGATCAGGATAATCCACTGAGGGACAGCTGTAAAAAGCAGTTTCTCTGTTCTTAATAATAGGTGGTATCAATAGTAAGTGACAGCACAGTATCCTACATAATAAAGTCTAGCTGAGTGGTCATTGACAGCACAAAATCCTACACACTGAAAGCCCAGCTGATAGTCGGTAATGACACCATGCTTTACACACTGAAAATCCTACTGATGGTCAGTAACAGCATAAAGCCCCAAACACTACCCGCCCCACCCCACTCACCCATGCAGAGAGAGCTGTGTGCCGCATTTTAAAAAGAAAAATAGCAAAAACATATTGGGAGGGTAGTGAGAGTGGTGTTGAGTGAATTTTTCTTCTAGGTTAAGAGCTTGGAAGGATTTACTTTTCTACAGATGAGGTTCATTATAAGGGATAAGTGATCAAAAGTTGCTTCCACTATATTCTCAGAATCAGAACACACATTGCGACATTGGTGCTGTAGCATTATTAAGTAATGTAAACAGGTTTTCCAGTTCATTAAATGGTGCTCTTCTGATGGCTCCGGCAACCGTCCCAGGCTTCATTCACTTGACATGAGACTTTGTCAGTCTTGTTTAAAAAAGCAATCTATTTTGATGCATCAAAATCTAAAAAAAAAATTCCTTTTCCAAAATTCAAAGCTGAATGCATCTTTTGCTGTTCCAATGCAGATGAACTGCACCTTTGTATTGCTCCCTCTGGTGGCTGCATAGTGTCCATCAGCACCACTTTAGCAGTAATGCACGTGTTATCTGAAAGCTGAGAGCTTTAGCTTAAAGCTCAGAGATTTACTATGAAGTTCAAAGGGATCATTTTAACACTTATCTAGATGCTTGAATTGTCATTTATTCCATGTGATCGGCCATTGGATTAAAAAATATATATCTTGAAGGGATCCTACATGCGTGAAAAATATCTGCTTTTTTGACTGAAATTTTTCTGCATCGGTGATCCAGTTTCCAAACTTCAGTACATTTGCAATTCATGCTGGGGATCTGATTTTCCTCCAGCAAGCTACAGTTTTGCCTTAGCTTCTTTGGCCATATTTCAAATATTTGCTGTTTTGCTCCTGCAGTGCAGAATCATATCTCCACCTGCTCCCATCTGCCTGCAATTACTCTCCTCTCCTTTATGATTGCAATGCTCCTCTCATCCCACCACCACAAAATGAGACAATATTGCGCAGTGTGGAATTGTCTGATCTTCTACATTAGAAAGTACAGCTGCTAGAAAATGATCCATCACCTTATTTTCAATTCCCTTTCACCCTCAGTTTTTTTGTGTGTAATGGCATTCAAAAGCTTAAGTCTCAATATCCAGAGGCTACACTATCTATCACCAACTGAGAATAATCTGGATTTGTGGAAAGGAAGAGATGAAAGAGCAAGAGTTAACTTGGATAGAAATAGCAAGATTACCTTTTTAATTTAACTTAACAATAATTGAGTTTTGGAATCTTTCCATCCCTGCATGTGTTCTAACAGCCATGCCTAAGTGCTGAAAATAATTCCCAATAATGATAGGACAGAAAACATTAGTTAGATTTCAAAGCACAATTGATGCTCAAACATCTTGGACTCTGCAGTCCATCAAAACCAGTCATTTTTCTCTTTGCAACAACAACAACTTGCACTTATATGGTGCTCTCCACGCTAGGAGGCGTCTCAGAGCGCTTAACAATGCTGGAGCCCAAGGCCAAGCCAGGGGGAGGGCGAAGGTGACCGTAGGTCGAAAAGGAAGGTCTTCAACAACAACAAAATTACATTTATAGCTTTTCACGTCGGGAGGACGTCCCAAAGCTCTGAAGAGTCAAGTGTCGGGGCCCGAGCATGGGGGAGGGGTGGTGTAGGGATGAGGGAAGGCAGAGAGGTGGGAGGGAGACCAAAGGCACAATCGAAAAGAAGGGTCGTGAGACCGGCCTTTAAGGAGGCAAGGGAGGAAGCGAGGCGAAGGGACCATGGGATGGAGTGCCAGAGTATGGGGGCAGAGAGGCTGAAAGCCTGGCCACTGATGGTAGGGCAGGTCGGGCGGGAGACATGAGCAGGCCGGAGCCCGCTGAATGGAGGGAGCGGGCAAGTTGGTAGGGAGTCAGCAGGTGAGAGAGATAAGCGCGACCTGAAGATGGGGAAGGAGGGGGTGAGGCGAAGGGCTTAAGGGAAGGAGTTCCAAAGTTTCGGGGCGTAGTGGCTGAAGGCACGGCCGCCGATGGTGGTGCGGATTCGGGGGACACAGAGGAAGCCGGACCCAGTAGAACGGAGGCAGTAGGTATTGCTGTGGGGAGACAGGTGGTTAAAGAGATAGGGGGTGCAAATGATTTCTTTACATTTCTATTCTTTTCAATACTGTTTCAAGAACATTTCAAGAATGAATACTTCCTCTCTGGGAAGAATTGTAATTTTTATCGTGAACATAATTATCATTGGCTTCCAATGGCTGAATAGATATCTACTAGAATTCCAGTAGATTCGTGAGGCAAGTCGAATGTTTCAAAAAGCCAAATTGATTACCCCACCATATGCTCTTTAGTTGAATATTGATTACCATAAAAATATTTGAGTACTTTCCCCACCATTAATTTTGATTAACTGTTCTATAATTTCTCACTATACCGTTTATTTATAGTTTTGAAAATTTATCACAATTATTTAACTGTGGAGTTCTGTAGCACAGTGGTCAGAGCACTCACCTCACAAGCGAGAGATCTGGGTTGGATTCCCGGATCTACGATTGGATTCACGAATCTACTGGGCAAAATGTTAGGCAAGTTTCCTTATCCATATGCCTCTACCTAGCAGTAAGTAGGAACCCGGTTGTTAGTCGATTGGAGGATCGCTTTTCTGGGGGTAGTAATTCCTTCAAAAAAAATATTAAATTGGTCACTTCAATCCACGACTGTTTGTGGGACACTGCTGTGCGCAATTGGCTGCTGCACTTCACCCACAAAATATACAGTCAATTTACTTTACAGTATATTCTGTGAAGCGCTTTGAGATGTCTCGAAGACATGATAAGGCGCTATATCAAATGCAAGGATTATTATTATTATAAACTATCCACCAGTCTTCTATGTTTATTGAGCTCCTAATAATATCAACCATAGTTTCTTCTCTCATTTTCTTGAGGATTTAAATTTGGCTGCATAGTTGATCATGTGGAGATGTCCAGTAAGCGATGGAATTTATTTGAGAGAAGTGACAGGCAGAGCAGAATAAGAAATGACAAATAGTAGCAAAAAATTGATGGCAACAGAATAGCTTTTGTAAGGTTGTGATGCTTCTTTAACCAAGAACAATTGAGTTTTGTTTTACATTCAGCAACCGATAAGAATTGTTACTTGGTGCAATGATTAACAGCTCTGGTGAATGTTCTTGGAGGCATCGGCAATGTGTTAATCAGAGAGTACAGAGCATACACACACTTAGGTTAGGCACAGTGTAATAGTCTGTCTGGAAGTACAGTAACAGACAAATAACATTAGTAATCATACAGTTATTATCACTTCATTCAAAAACTGTTCAGGTTCAGAGAACATACAGTATTATGCTTTCTTTAAATTGACTATTATTATGCAAATTGCATTTTGGGAATAACTATTTATACAGTGCAGTGCAGTCTGTGTGAGAAACAAGTCCCAGCATCATGTTAGAGAGAACATTAGTATATCAACAAGCTGCTGCACCATGCTTCGTATCCTTGTGCTTAATAATATTTCAAATAACTGGTGAGAATTGTAGTTTTTACCGTCAACATGATTATAGGTTGAAAGGCTCATTTTTTCCAAGTTGCTTTACTAAGTCACAATTACCTCTTTCCCTGGAGGTTTTCAGTGACACAACAAACCATGTTTTTTTTCCTTTACAAGCAATAAATTGCAGGTGACAACTTCCAAGTACAGTATACTTCAATTTGAGTTTCTGTTATTTGCACTTAATAAATTGCTTATAAACAGAAGATATATACTTGTCATTTAATACATGCAATACAGTAGCAACAACAATGTATACATGTATAACATGTTTCACATGGAAGAACATCTCAAAATGCTTTACAGAGTCTGAGTGGGAATCTGAGCAGGGAGGGAGGTGGGTTTTGAGGTAAGGGAGCCAATTGCACAGTTGAAGAGATAGTTTTGAAAGCAGATAGGGAGTGGGTAAGTACTAGAAAGACCCTTTATTTTTCATTGACCAGAATTTTGTGCAGTACATAGGTGTAGCCTGACAAGAGTGATGTAAAGATTAGGCATGACTTCTGGTAATTTGAACTAAGCTGCTTTCACAATGTCGCCCAGATTCTCATGTTTTTTTTTAGTGGTGCTTCACGCTGCTTGGACATGGTAAGCAAATTATCAACCAAAAGCCCTAGGTCTCTTGCAGCTTCCCCATTAGCAAATTCCACCGCTATGGAGTTTGTGTGCTTTCTCTTTTACTTCCAATAAGCAGCACTTACATTTATTCACATAAATATCATTTGTCAGTGATCAATTCAGGTACATACTCTATTGAGATATCTTTGTAATAATGGCTGCCTCATCAGAGTCCACAGGCCTCCTCGCTTGATGCCACCTGTAAATGTCTCTACCTTGCATTTAAGTAATTTACATTCACTAGGAGAATCAACTGCTAATTTCTATATAATATGTTCCTAGTCAGCTGTTATTCCTCAACACTGTCTAATCTAACCGTCATTCTGTATGTCACCCTTTAGCTAAACTATTT